TATTGCTGCCACCTTCCAGAGGTCCACAGTACTGCCCACTGCACAGCAGTGCCAGGCTGACAAGCTACCCTAAGCCAGATTAGCATCAGCTTGGCAAAGGTCTGCAAGCATGACCTGCATCTATACTCATGTTTCAATTTTAAACAGTGCATGGCCATACAAATCTTACCTTTTACCTTTGTAAAAAAAAAAAAAAAAAAAAAAAGTGAGCTGACACTCGTGGCTCACACCTGTAATCTTAGCTACTCAAGAGGCTGAGATCTGAGGATTGCGGTTCAAAGCCAGCTTGGGCAGGAAAGTCTGTGAGACTCTTATCTCCAATAAACCACCAGAAAAGCAGAAGTGGTGCTGTGGCTGAAGTGGTAGAGGACTCACCTTGAGCTGAAGGACAGCAACCAGGTCCAGAGTTCAAGCCCCATGACTCACACACACACACACACATACACACAAACACACACAAACACACACACACACACACACACACACACACACACACACACACACACACACACACACACACACACCAGTACTGGGGCTTGGACTCAGAGCCTGGGCACTTTTGTATTGTTTAGTTTTTTGTTTGTTTGTTTTTTACTCAAGGCCGGCACTCTACCACAGTTCCATTTCCAGTTTTTTAGTGGTTAATTGGCAATGAGTCTCAAGCACTTTTCTGCCTGGGCTGGCTTTGATCTATTATCCTCAATCTCAGCTTCATGACTAGCTAGGATCATAGGTGTGAATCACAGGTGCCAGGATAGCTTTGTAACTTTTATTGTTTCAAGTTCCAGCTGATAGCCATGTTTCCCACAAAATTACCTCTCTTGAGCTCCATCTGTCATAAGCTGTCTTAGTGCCTGGTCAGCCAGTACCCTATCCCATAATTGGACCTAAGGTTACTTCTGCCACTGAGTGTCTAGGTGCCCCATGATTAGTCTCCTCCTGAGCCTGATGATACCATTCCTGTGGTATATTTAACATGCATGTGACATGTGTTGGCAAAATCCACTTTGCCTTTCTTTCTTTCCAGTAGATGGAAATCCATCTTTTCTGTCTGCCCTGGGCCAAACACATTATTCCTCCTGTTGAATTACGACTTGAGTGGTTCAAGGCCATTAGAGACATTAGAAGGTAGCAAGTCACCAGCCAGGGCAGATTCCAGGTAGTTCGGTACAGTCCCAGCTCTGCACTAATTGGTGCTTTGTGTGCAAAAGAATGGAATTGGATGGCATGATTGTCAGAAGAGAGTTTGGATGCACAAGATGTGACTTAGAGACAGTTTTCACTCACACACACAACACACACACACACACACACACACACACACACACACACACACACTGTTTCTGCTGCCCAACCACTTTTATGAGTTGTTGCAAACAGAGATACCTAATAGACCACCCAGATGCTAGCCCCCTGCTGACGCTTCTGGGTCACCTCTATTCCCTCCCCTGGGGGAATATGGCTCATGTGAAATCAGGAAGGGAAGAACTGGTCTCAAACCAGAGCTTGATTTCAAAACAGACTTCAAATAATTTAGTCCTGTAATTTGTTACAGTGTTTTGAGAGTGTTTCAAAAAACCATTTTCATTTAACTTGTAAAATGATATAAAATTTAAAATGTAAATGATAAAATGAATAATCACTTTAAAGAATAGTTAAATTACCAGGGTACCAGTGCCTCATGTTTGTAATCCTGCCTACTCAGGAGGCTTAGGACCTGAAGATCTTGGTTCAAAGCCAGCCTGGACAGGAAATTCCATGAGACTTTTATCTCTAATCAATCACCAAAAAGCTGAAGTGGATCAAGTGATAGAATACTAGCCTTTAGCACAAAAACTCAGGGAAGCACCCAGGCCCTGAGTTCAAGCCCCAGGACCAGCACAAGTGAAAAAGAAGAAGGCAAAGATGAAGACAAAGTCCCTGTTTTCACTGTATTGGATGTTGGTACAATTTGGGGAGGGGAAGGGAAAAAAATGTTTAAATAGGGATACAGGTTGACCCATTGCAACAATGAGCTATACAAGACGCTATGTCGAAAAACAAACTTTATAATTTAGGCAGGGGTAGGGGTGTGTGTGGGGTGTAGCTGAGGAGGTGGGAGGGAAGGGATGGCAGGGGAAAAACAAAGGAGGAGGCAACAATGCTGGATAAGAAATTTACTCATTACCTTGCTTATGTAAGTATAGCCCCTTTGTAGAAAATTATGCTTAATACATAAATCTTCAGACTCTTCCATGAATATCTGTTATTCATAGGAATAAGCTAATTCTCTATACCACTTCTCTGACCTTCCTTTCGATTTCATGTACCCTACCCAACCCATGTTGTCTGTATAGACTGGAAAGCAAGATGGCTACAGAGTTGTCATCAGCCATGTAGCCTCTACTATGGGCATCTGGGCTGCTCTATTGAGGTTTTTTACATATAAATAGTGACTATTGCTGTCTCTCTCCCTTCTTTTTTTCCTCCTTCCCTGTTTCTCTCCCTCTCTCCCTCTTCTTTCCTCCTTCCCTCCCTCATCCTCCATCCTCCTCCCTGCCTCTGTCTGTCTGTCTGTCTGTCTGTCTCTCCTCTCTCTCTCTCTCTCTCTCTCTCTCTCACACACACACACACACACACACACACACACACACATACACACACACACACACACACACACACCTCCTTTCTTTTTGCATTGGAAGACAGGATGCTGGGATATAAGCCACTGTGGCCATCCACCAAAAGCCATCACTACCTCCAAGAAGCCCCTTGTGCAGGTCAGCACCCCTAAATCTGCTGGCTCCTTCTTGTCTTTTCCATAGTATGAGCATAACCAGTGACAGCTTCCCCTTTGAAACATTCTGTCCCTGAACTACATGTAGGACCTTCTGTTTCTCCAGAGGCCATCTGAGCCTCTGTCAAGTCCTTGTGTCAGCACATAGCATGTACTAGGCCTCAGGGAGCCTCCCTCCTCCCTCCTCACTCTGTCCCAGCAAACTGCATCCACCTACCCTGGCATCAGAGGACTCAGGTCCTATTTTCCCTTCTTTAGGCTCTCTGTCCTTCACTGCTTGATGTCCAATGTCTTGGAAACCATGGAATCAATTATATGCCTTGTGAGATATTTCAGTGGGCAGGTAAACCTAGACCCTGTTACTCATGGTGGCTGGAATCATAAAAATGGGAAGACAAGTTCAATGAGCTTGTCTATATCACACACATGCATACACAGGATTGCTCACCTAAGAGCCAAGGGCTCTCCATGAGGCTGCCTGGCTACCTGACATTGCTGTGTGTCTGATGCTCATATCTGTCTGTCCAGTTAGTCCTCTCCCATATCCTCTTGGTTAATATCCCCAGCCATACTTCAGTGCTCAGATGGCTATAGGCATGACATGCTCAGTGTGCCCAATGCCAAACTCCTTACCTTCCCAGATCAATGAGTACCATTTCTTCTGCCTGGTCAAATTATAAGGCAAGAAACTTGATCATTCCCTCCCCTTGCCCTTCAGGCTTTGAATATACTAGATCAGATCTATAGTTACACCTGGCTTTCCTTCCCTACCTACATCTCTGGTTTCCTTTCTTGTGTCATATAAGGCCATTGACATTGGATTTCAGGCTCATTCTAATCAAAGTAAATCTCTTCTCAGAATCTTTACCTTATAAATATCTGCTTTCTCCTTCTACCAAATAAGGTCACATTCTCAGGTGCTAGGAGTTGGACTTAGACTTGTCTCTTGAGAAGAACATAAATCAGCTCATGGTGCTTCCTAGTATCTCTAAACAAGACGATAGGATAGCTTTCTCAGGAAGAATCAGAGCAGGAAGAGCAAGCTGTGTGGTAAGAAGGATAATGTTGGCTCTCATGGGCTCTCTAAGGATTCCTCATGCAGGAATTTCCTTGGCAGGCCTATCACACCTTTGTCTCAGAAGACTTAGCACACCCCTGAATGAAGGCATCACCTCAAAACAAACCTTTCTTCGAGTCATGTAATACATAAGGAGTCCTTGAGGAGCTCAGCATGACTTTGGGTGGGAGGTGCTATGCTCTGTAAACAATGTAGCCTTTCACTGTCCACTAACTGTCACCTCCTAGGAAAATCCTGGGAATTCTGTGTCTAAGTAAGCTCATGTTTTATAATATGAAAAAAATTGTCTAGATTGGGGCTGGGAAGGTGGCTCAGTGGTAGAGTGCTTGCCTTGCATGCCTGAGGCCCTGGGTTCGATTCCTCAGCACCACATAAGCAAAAAGAAAAAAAAGCCGGAAGTGGCGCTGTGGCTCAAGTGGTAGAGCGCTAGCCTTGAGCTGAAGAGCTAAGGGACAACGCCCAAGCCCAGAGTTCAGGCCCCACGACCGGACCCAAAAAAATTGTCTAGATTTTATTAACAGCACAAGAATAATTAATTCTGTTTCTAAAGATAAAAGTCAGGCCTCCCTACATGGCTTTTTTCATGTTGATCATATATAATACTCTAGAAAAATTATCTCTTTTTTATTTTTATTATATATATATTTATTGTAAAGATACTGTACAGAGGGGTAACAGTTACATGAACAAGGTAATGAGTCAGTTTCCGATTGAGCATTGTTTTCCTCCTTTGTTTTCCCCCTACCATCCCTTTACTCTTATCTCTCTTTAACCAGTAGGGCTTGAACTCAGGGCCTGGACACTATCCGTAGCTTTATCACTCAAGGCTGGTACCCTACTACATGAGCCACAGCTCCACTTCTGGCTTTTTTTCTTTTAGTGGTTTGTTGGAGATGAGTAGCTAGGTGTGAGACACCAGTGCCCGGCTGAAGAAATTCCTGGAAGCAATCAGGGAAAGGTGTCCTGGGTTATCAAGCTCCCTCCAGATTGAAACAACATTATTAACACTCAGACAAGCAGAACCTGAGGCTTTGGGAGGGCCGAGGGACAGGCAACCGAGGGACTGCACAGCCTGACCCTGTGTTTTTCCTTCCCAGGGACAGAACCACCCTGCCCTCATCCTCATCTCTTCTTGTTTGTTTTCAGGATTCCTCTTCAACTGGACTCATCCCCACAGTCATTCCTCGATCTACTGCAGTGGCTGGAGACCCGGTCACATCTCCCAAAGTCCAGTTGCCCCTCAATGTGTAAGCTGCTCCATGTGTGTGTGTGTGTGTGTGTCTGCGTGTGTGTCTGTGTGTCAGAGTCCCATATCTTCTGTGCTGTCTGCATATTAGCACTTACATATGTGGTTTCTGTTGGCTTTTTTTAATTGGCTTTTTAAAAATCTGGTCAATGTACCTAAATGCCTCTCGTGATGTTGCCCAAAAAATAGTAGAACAAACAAAAGCCTAGCAAGGCATTTTAATGTCATCATCTCTAAAACAGTTACGGTAAATGAGAGTTCAAAATCTTTTACAATGCAGGCACTGGTCCATCAGAAAAGGAGCCACTTGTAGCATGAAATACTGACTGCCACAGAGGCCCTTGAAGTCTGGGCTGCCCCAAGGAAGGACCAGAGTGGCTAGAGCAATGAGAAGCCTTGGGATAGGGGTAGCAGCTTGGTTGCTGATGGTTCCGAAGTAGTGAGTATTTACCCATCCTAAGCACTATCCCAGGGCAGGCCAGCTGCATACCAGCCCCAAATATAACCACATGAATCACTGCTAGGAAGTGAACACTTATCTTGTTTAGGAAATCTGCTCTGCTAAATTACAGCTCTTAAGAAATGTGCAGTTTAAAAATTTCCCATTTCAATAGCATTCTGAAGAATGAGTTGGCCTTCTGCTCTTTCATTTGGCTGATGAGTTCAGTTTCTTAAAAAGATGCTTTAAGGTGGAGAGGGTAAATTTGGCAAATAAAGGATAAGAAAGTTTCATACACTAGGGCAGGTCTGAGGAACACCTAGATCATATAGTGCAGAACCTATATTTTTTAAAGCAGAAAACAAAATAAAATCTGCCTTTGGAAAAATCAACTTTCTATAATCTTTTTTTTTTTTTGGGGTCCGGTCGTGGGGCCTGAATTCTGGGCCTGGGCTCTGTCCCTCAGCTCTTCAATTCAAGGCTAGCGCTCTACCACTTGAGCCACAGCGCCACTTCCGGCTTTTTTTCTTTTTGCTTATTTGGTGCTGGGGAATCGAACCCAGGGCCTCAGGCATGCAAGGCAAGTGCTCTACCACTGAGCCACCTTCCCAGCCCGAAAAATCAACTTGCTAAGTTTAGAAGGCTTGCTAGAAGCAGCTCAGCTATGCTGGTACCCTCTCACCTAGCTCCACAGACCAGTCAAAAGTTAGCATTTGTTTCAGATAGGAAAATTCTACACACTTCCTTTTATTTGGCCACGCTTCCTTGGTTAACCAACTTAATAAAAGAAATTTGATGATTTTATGGTTTTTCACTAGTTTCCTGTGGGGAATACAGGAGCTACTTTCTCGATATCTTTAAGTGAAAATTCAAATACCAGACAGAGAGTACAATTAGCTCTGACACATTTGTAGATACAGACATCCTTAGATTCAACCCATAGACGGAATACATTTGGGAAAAATGCTAGAAATTGCCTAAAGATAAACTTAAATGTATCACACACTCAGCACTATGTCTAATTCACATGTGTCCAGTGATATGCAATATGCAGACATTGTATCAGAGGTAAGCAGTCACAGAAGGATATATGCTTATGTGAAATTACTGTGCAATTACTATATCATTCTAAACAAGAGACTGCCATGTGTGGATTCTGGTATCTTGGGGGTTTTGGAGCCAGTCCCCTTCAGATACCAAGTAATGGCGATCCTGTCCTAGATCTGAGCTCACCATACTCCTGGACTGCTTTTGTGGCTTCATTCCAAGCCAGAGTAGGATGGAGTGATAGGCTGGCTCTCTTAAAACAAGCAAAACAATGCAAAACAAAACTGGCGCAGAACATCATCCTTGAAGAAGAAGACCTACACCCCATAAGAATGTCCTAATGTAATTCCCCCAAAGTGAGGCAGGATACAAGACAGGGTAACAAGACTATGTTTATTCTGGGGTCCCTACAACTACTTGAATACCTGCACAAGGCTCTGAGCAACTACCTGTCCCCTTCCTGGGTATGGAGGGCTCTAGGTTTTACTAGTCAGGTCAGCCACCAGAGAAAGTTGCTCTGTCTGACACCCAAAAGTTGTGAATACTCTGAATATATTCTGAAGTCCTCAACATATCTTTAAGGACTTTGGCTTCAAGCCCTTCTTCTATGAGGGTCTCTGGGACCCTCAACACTTCCTGCTTCACTCAAATGGTTTGGCTGTCTCTATTAAACTTGAGGTTTTGATCATGATTCATTTGTGTGGCAGGGAGGAAGACTTACATATCATGTGATGGTTTCTTTCTTATTGCCCATGGTTAAGGAAGGGGTGAATCTTCAGGTGGTACAGTGGTGGTCTGAGCTGCAGACAGATCATGATGGGCACAGCGTGTTTAACATGGACATTCTACGGTTGTCTATCAAAGCAGCAGGATTGTACCTGGAAATATACAAAGCAGCAATACGCACTTTAGTGTGTATACCTTCCATGGCTATCTACCAAGCAGCAGGTACATGCCTGGAAATGACATACCCACTGCAGCAATTTATAGGGTCTACTTTGCAAAAATAACCACTAAAAATCACATTTATATGATCTTCCTAGGGACCAATCAAATTGACCTCTTCAGTTTGTCAAGAAGTGAAGTAGCTTGTACACTCACTGATCCTCTGATTCCAAAAGTATAGTAGTTGCAAGGGTACTGTGGCCTGAGACAAGGGTATGATTGCTGCTTATCTAACTGTTCTTCCCAAAACAGTATCTGGGAATTATATTTAGAACAGAACTTCAACATGAGATAAACTGTCTTTACAAAACAAGTGTAACAACTGCAGCAAGGTGTCTTCCAGTGATGGCTGTGGGGCTCCAGATGAGAGCCCAGTCAAGTCCAGTATGAAGTAATAGAACAACTCCATGATCCTCCACCACAATCCCTATATGCCTTGAAACTTGAGTCTTGGCAATGACAAAGCCTGGTCTTCTTTTGGTTGGTGGCAGGCTGTTGTCCTTTGCCCGTCTTCTAGTGTATCTTAAAGATTTCCATGACACGTAGAAATGAACTAAGCTTATATTTCAGTGCATAAAGTCACTGCTCCTCTGAAGAGACCAAACACTGCCCCCAGACTATCCCTTTGAACTCCTAGTTTGCTAAAAATCTCTAACTCTGGCTTGGTTGCCATTCATGATTCTGAGGGTATGAGTGGCCCACGCTGGAGGCCATGCTCATGTCAGAACTGAGTTGTTCAGAGCATCTTAAGATTGATGAAGCTGAGCTCTGGTGGCTCATGTCTACAACATAAGCTACTCAGGAGGCTGAGATCTGAGGATTGGGTACAAAGCCAACCCGGGCAAGTAAAGTCCATGAGACTCTTAACTCCAATTAACCACCAGAAAAAAAGGAAGTGGTGCTGTGGCTCAAGTGGTAGAGCGATTACCTTGAGCTGAAGTGTTCAGGGATAGTGTCCAGGCCCAGAGTGCCAGCCCCACAACTGACAAAAAGAAAATATTGGCTTTTTCTCTCTCTGTTCGTTTCTAGCTCTTGCTCTTGCTCTTGCTCTTCTTTTCTAGCTCTCTCTGCTCTCTCTCTGCTCTAGCTCTTTCCTCTCTCTCTCCTCTCTTTCCCAGCCACGTGGAGTGCCAACCTTGCCTGGTCCCAGCAGGCCCACTGAATAAACCTACCCCTTACCTGAATACCACGTGATTAATTAAAAATAAAATAAAAAAATAAATAAAAAAAAAGAAAATATTGATGAAAACATGATGAACAAGGCAACCTAATATATGAGGATTAGAGTCTTTCTTCCTCTTCTCCATGGACATCTCAGTGATTTTTAGCCAGAAGTGAAAGATGAAAGAGCAGAGGGAACCCTAGGAAGCTGAGCAGCACTATTTGGGGCAGGGAAGAAAGTGGTAGAACCACCAAGATATATCCCCCTCCTTAGAACCCCTGAGTTATGTGAGCACTGCTGACCATCAGGACCTGGAGGGGGAAGATCAACAAACCAGGACTGACATGTCACTTTCCTGTGTAGCATACACTGCCCTCCTCCCCTCAGGACCTGAAGGCTGCCTGTATACCAGGGGCAGCCCTTGGCTATCAGTTTCTTATTCCTGAGACTGAACCCCAGCTTTCTGAGGGAAAAGGAAACTTCCACAGTCACAGAGGTGCAATTAATTACCTATTGGGAAAGCCACATGTTTCCTACTGTGGATACCCTGGCCCCCAGATGTTATCTGGAAACATACTCCGAGGAATTAAGCTTGTAGATCAGAGAAAAGAAACCTTGGGGAACAGCATGCAGCAATGCTGGGTGGAGGCCAAGTCCCTAAATCCCCAGTCCCTGTTGAGGTATACTCTCTGCAGTGAGGAGGCCATGTCTAAAGCTAACCCTTTTCTCATAGCTGTGCTGACATTTGTCTCAATGGCCAAGGGCCACCAAACTACCCTCAAGGATAATGTGGTTCTCTCCTCCCGTTCTGGCATGCTGAGAAAGGGCTAGTGATCAAGTCACGTTATCAAATACTCTTCGTTAGGCCAGCTCTAAACTGGAAGTGTTTTTGCCTCAATCACCTGTTCACAAAGGTACCTTTTCTAATTGTCACCTAGCTTTGTGCCAGTTAGAGCACAATGAACAGCCCAGCTATCTTGATGCATTGAGGAGATTGCCTCAGGCACTTGTTAAGGCCTATGTTGAGATTTCAAGGCCTTCTGAAGCAAGTGGAGAACAGAAACCAGAAGGATAGAGACCAAACCAGCTATGGAGCACTCGGCTTTCCCTATGCCAGACTGTGGGTTCATGTGCCTTGTGAGAAACAGCAGGGCATACTGAGCCCCACGGTTGTCAAGGGACACTCACATGTACAGGCCTGGCAGAGAGAGCAGGGGAAGGCATCAGTGGGAAGGTAGATAAAAGAGGATGATGCTATAGGTTGTCACCAGACCCTGGAAGTAAATAGTATAGGAGGGCTGCTGAGACCCCAGGGGGCTAGTGCTGGCAGATGGAGAGGGATTGGGGTCATTCTCTGAATACTAATCAGTTTTGTGAAAAAGGAGGTGGCCATCTTCAGACACCTGCTCAATGAGTTGCTTCCCAGAGAAAGGCTAGGCCCAGAAGTGTCAGAAGCTAGGAAGACCATCCATAAGCACCTGGGGACAGCAGCAGTAAGCAACATCAATTAGCATCTCCATTCTTAAGCTGGGAATTCACATTCCACATTCAAAAAGAAAAAGGGATGGTAGGGGAAAAACAAAGAAGGAGGCAACATTGCTGGATAAGAAATGTACTCATTACCTTGCTCATGTAACCATAACCCCTCTGTACAGTATTTTCACAATAAATAACTTAATTTTTAAAAAAGTGTGAGCAGAAGTGATAAATACTTTGTCATTTGATGCGTTTGACAGGTGTGTGGTCCTGAAGTAGCCATAAAATAACTGAAGGTTAATTACCTTCTGGAAATGACTTGGCTATCCTTTAGCAGTATGTTAGAATATGTACATAATTTAATGGGGCAGTGACTTAGTGCTTACATCTCAGAATAAAAGCAGTAGTTCCATCTTTTCCTGCCAAACTAAAAATAGAGACTTTCTATATTAGGGCTTCGTGTCATTTTAAGACCTTTACACTCAGAAAAAGATTTTTCCCGAAATTACATTTTTACTTTAAATGAACACAGACATGGTTCCTGATGCAATAATGAAGGCAGAAAAATAGAAAACTAAAAGGCAAGTGTAAGGACATCAGCTCTGCACCCACTTCCCTCATTTTGGTTGGCGCAGAAGCTGCTGAGAGATCCATGGTTTCGAGGTTAAAAAGATAGATTTGGATGTTCTGCTACATTAAGCCTCTTCACATGAGGCATCAAGCTTCTTAGCAGTTGAAAGTCTAAGGGATTTTGTTTATTAGATGCTCAGTGATACAGATAGCCCTCCAGTGCCAATGTTTCACAGTGAGAGATGTATGCTGTACAGGTGCATGGCACCACTTTCTTAAAACATGGTCACCAGCTGACGTCCCCTAAAGCCTTATTTGTCAGGCTACAGTACAGAGCTGTGCCCCAACCACAAGGCCTCAGATGGGGTGGGGAAAAGGAAAATGGGTAGGGATGCAATGTCTACTGTATGGCAGACACACAGGCTCACTTAAGCTCTACATGAGTCCTGACATTTCACAGTCAGGGAAACTGAGACAAGAAAAGATTTGAAAATCTACCCATGTTCCTGTGTGTTTAGAGGCAGGGCCAGCTCTGTGGTCCAGAAGTTATCAGCCTGCCCAGGGGTATGGCTAGGTGCCATGAAAAGCTGACAGCCTGCTAAGGAATGGCCTGAGGTGAGGTGGGCTCTGGAGCAGGGTAAGGTGCCTGCACACTTGCTCTGAGTGCAGGCTTGCATAGCCCACGGTAAAGAGGTGTCATACTGATGGTACCAAGGAATTGGTCATCTTGGCCTTTCTATCTTTATTTCAAATTTTCTCTGTCTGATGAACATTCTGGTCTCAATACTCCATGTTTGCCTACTAGGTGTACATTATTGGATGTGATGAATCCTCATTTCATGTCAAAAATTCTTCTCTGGCCAGTGCCAGTGGCTCACACTTGTAATATTGTCTACTCAGGAGGCTGAGATCTGAGAATCGCAATTGCAAGTCAGCCCAGGCAGGAAAGCCCGTGAGACTATTTCCAGTTAATTACCAAAAAAGCCAAAAGTGGAAATATGTCTCAAGTGGTAGAGTGCCCCACCTTGAGCAAAAAAGCTATGGGACAGAATTGAGAACCTGAATTCAAGCCTTAGTATTTCGCACGCACACACACACACACACACACACACACACACACACACACACACACACACACACACACACACACACACACACACACATCCTTTTCTTTTTCAGGTGCCCTATAGTGGATTTCTGTACATCACACCTATGTATGTGGCTCTTGTCCATGAGAAGATGAAAAGTGGAGCAGAGCAGATAATATACATTTACACACACACACACACACACACACACACACACACACACACTTGTTTTTCAATAAATACTTATTGAGAGTCTACCACGTGCCTGGACTGAGGAGACAGCATTGAACTGTCAGTTAAATTCACTTCCTGGAGCATTCAATGTGTGGGGGAAAGCAAGCAAGCAATAGATTCCCGGATATCAGTGTGAGGATACCAGGGCAGGCGTCTGGTACAATCAGGTAATAGCTTGGAGCAATGTCTCACTGAGCAGGGCTCACTGGTCCTTTTTCTCTAGGCCCTTTTGAGCAGATGCCTCTGCACCCCATTTAGCCTCTTTTAGAAGATAGACATGGGCACAGGTCAGCAGTGGCTACCTCATGCTGCAAGCTTGCTGGAAGTCCTCTGTCCAAGAGAACTCAGCTGCTCACAGGAGCAGGTCAAAAAGGCTAGGGGATGAGAGAAGAGAAGGAGAGAAGTTAAACTCCCTGGACCCTCCTAAAAAGACTATGCCACCTTGAGATTGGTGTGTGTGGAAGAAATCATTTGGAAATAAATATAAAGTAGTGGTCTAGTAAAACCCACTGAGAGCTCTGGCAGTCATTGGCCTCACTGCAGGTGGATTTAGTGGCATTCATTTACCTTATACTTGTTCTTTTATGTGTCCTGTGACCTAAGGCTGCACAACATAAGAACTGGCCTAATAGAATGCCCACAGGATGCTGATCCAAGACAACAGATTATGCTCCATGCAGCGTGACTCCCAGCCAGTGGCAAGCCAGGGTGAGGGGACTTGGCCTTGATGCAACTCCAGGCCCAGAAGAACACAGGCTGTGAGGCACCAGCTCAGTTTTGCATCAGAAAGTTGGTCTCCAAGTCCTGTTGAACAGACCAAGTATCCTAGGCCTTACTCCCTAGAGGTGGCTGGTGTGTCCACCTACACCTACCACAGGGCTGCTTTCTTCATAGGCAGTTTGCTCCAGGTAGGAACACTTAGTTACCTAATGAAGTTAGAGTGGCATCATCCCCCAGTGGCATTCTGATCTGGCCTGAGTCAGAGACTGCTCTGACATTAGAAACAATGAGACAAACATAAACAGGATTTATGTTTCTATTTCTTTGAGCACAAGTTCACAATGTCATGTATCATTTTTATCAGTTTCCATGATTCCAGATGTTTCTGATCTTCCCTCTTGCTCTGCCTTGACCCCAGCTGTGTGGAAGCTACTCTTTTATCTGTTGGGCAGCCCAACACATATATCAAAGTCACATATGGGCTTTGGGTGTTCAAATGCAGTCTTCATGTGACTTTCTGTCACTAGCAGTACCTCTGCAGTCATTCAAGATGAGGGATGCACCCTGGTTCTCTTATCTGTCACCTGAGTGTGCATGGACTATGTAAATCTATAGGCCATGAGAATGAGAAGGATCCTTTCTCAAGGGCTCTATGTTTTGGAAACTCAGATTGCATATCTTCTCAAGGAACATAACAAGGAAACAATATGCAAACCACATTTCATCCTAGCTTATGTCCCAGGGTAGGGGGCACTGTAAACAAAGGACCCAATTTCCCATTGAAAAAGAGCAGAAGAAGTCCTTGTGTATATAGTATGAGGATGTTGGAAAGGAGTGGTGGATTTTATTTTAAAGCAAAGAAAGCTTTATTTATGAAAGGAGCTCTCTTTTTTGCTGGTTGTGGGGCTTGAACTCTGACCCTGGGCTCTGTCCCTTAGCTCTTTAGCTCAAGGCTAGCACTCTATCACTTGAGCCACAACACCACTTCTGGCTTTTTCTGTTTATGTGGTACTGAGGAATTGAACCCAGGGCCTCATGCATGTGAGGCAAGCACTCTACCACTGAGCCACCTTCCCAGCCTATGAAAGGAGCTCTTACTTATCTCTATACTACTCCTCAGAGCCTCTGTTCTTGCTTGAACTGACTGAGCTGGATTCCAGAAGGCCCTTGGGGAGTCCATGGGCTCCTCTATCCCGGAGACCTGTGGACACCTCTAGGAGTCTATGGTCCCTGAATAGAGTCAACACACCCACAAAACAGTTGGTCATACTGTGAAATCTGTGTCATGACTCTTTAGAATTCATCTTTCATTTTCTATTAGCTGAAGGGCCCATCCACTTTCATGACTGAATCATGTGAGAAAACACAGTTATCTGCTGTAGTTCTGTTCATCAGTTCAACATAGAACAGAGTACGCAGCCTTCCAAGTCCTAGGAAGTTAGGATTGAGATGTGTTTCATGTCACCAGAGGAACTTGCCATAGCCAACTTTAAGGCATAATGTGTAAACTTAGGTTTTTCACCACCAAGTCTGTTTAGCCTTATTTGCAAGTAAATCTTAAAAGAAAAGTAGAAGTAAAATAATTAGTCACAGTACAAATATTTCTAGGAAGTATACAGCCAAGAATTCCATAATAAGGCCATCTTTTCTCTGAAAAGATTCGGCGTTTGATACGTGACAAGTTTGATAAGTGAAGGCATGTGGAAAGCTCAACCCAGACTAATTTAGCACAAACTAGATTTTCCCAAGGCTTTCTCTTGCTCAGAGCACTGGACTATTGACATCATGAAGAACAGAAAAAAAAATTGTAGGGACCAAAGACCAAGCACCAGAATCCAGATCTAAGGCCTCCTGCCAGGTCTTCCCTCCTCACACAGCTCAGCCCCGCATGGTTCCACCTGCTTTCCCAAGGGGCCCAATGTGGTGTTGTAGGCCATCAGACCCACAGGGGCTGTCTTCCATCCTCTCTTCTGCTACTTGGGTAGGATTGAGTCAGGTAAGGGATGTGTGAGCTCTTTTGAAACTAGAGAGCCTTACAGACATTAGCTATTCTGTATAGATTGGCATACCCAAAGTTGAGCTGTGTGCCCTGTGCCCACGCTGCCATGTCCTGGAAAAGGTGTTTGCTGACCTGTGTCTTCTTCTCTTGCCTATAGATACCTGGCTCTCTATGCTTACAAACCCCAGAAGAATGATGAGCTGGAGCTGCGCAAGGGTGAGATGTATCGGGTGCTGGAGAAGTGTCAGGACGGCTGGTTCAAGGGGGCATCACTGAGGACTGGGGTCTCTGGGGTCTTCCCAGGAAATTATGTGACTCCTGTCTCAAGGTGAGGACCCAGCAGCCTGGGCTAGGAAGACAAGGTCCCCTAATGCTGTGGGAGCCCTGGAAGCCATGTGTGGAATGAATCCCTAGAAACACTCAATCCAGAGGCAGCGGGGTAACTGATCTCCCCTTGATGAATGGTTAACCTGATGAGCTGAGTTCCTTGGCTTCCCTCAGTGGGCACTAACTACCCACAGACAAGAATGGGAACAGGGAGAGCTGGATTCAAAGTAGCAAGGGGTCATCAGAGAGCAAGGTCTCCAGTGTGTGTGTATTTCTGTGTGAGGATAGTATGTGGGCACATGTGTATAGTATGAATGTGCTCCTGTGTGAGTACATAGGTGAACAGTAAGTATAGCACATGTACATGTGTGCCCTATGTGTAATGTGTGTGCAGCAAATGTGGGACAATGCATTGTGTGGTGTGAGTAAATGCGTATATGCAATGTTCACAGAAGGTGGATACTGTGTCCATGTATGTATAGGTTCACATACATAGTATATATGCACATACACACCATACATAAATGTGTGTGTAAAGTATATTGCCACAATGATCTATGTGTAGAATACACACATATATTTCTCGACAAAGGAAAAATGATACATAGCTTAAAGTAACAGTTGTTGTTGAGTTGGCAGTTTAAAATTTGCTTTACAAATCTGTTGTATTCCTTTTATGAAATACAAATGGTAATTTTAAAAATTCAGTGGAGAAACCAAGTGCAGTGGCTCACACCTGTAATCCTAGCTGCTTGGGAGGCAGAGATCAAGAAGATTGTGGTGGAAGGCCAGTATGAACAATCAATAAAAAGCTGGATATGGTGAACCATGTCTGTCATCCCACCTACATAGAAATCATAAGCAGGAAGATTGTAATAGCCAGCTCAGTCACAAATACAATTCAAAAAATAATGAATGCAAAGAGAGATGGAGATGTGGCTCAAGTGACAGAGCTCCTGCCCAGCAAACGCAAGAACATGAGTTCAGTCAGCCCAGGGGTCCACCATTTGACTGCATTCCAGTCAAGGACGCCCAAGGCACAACTATGTATAGAAGCTGATGGATGTGCAAATAACAAAAGATATGTCCTTTGGGTTTCTACTGTCTTTGGAGGAGGTCTATGTAAAAAGTATTCGATAGTAACTGGCCTTGTACCTATTGCCTGACTGATGTATACCTACTGTCTAAGTGGTTTCTGAAGGGGCATGGAAAGATATACACTACTTGCTCTGTGGCTTTGGGTACCTGGACTTCACACAAGATGTCCAGTAGAGGCCAGGGGAGGAGTCTTTCCTGAGGCCCAGGAGGCCTACAGGAACAAGGAAGTGGGTATAAGAGATGCTTCACTCAGGCCAATAAAGGAAGCCCCTCATTCTTTATTTTTTTAATATTTTTTATTGTAAGGATACTGTACAGAGGGGTTACATGAGTAAGGTAATGAGTATGTTTCCTATCAAGCATTGTTACCCCCTCCTTTGTTTTTCCCCTACTATCCCCTCCCTCCCCATCTCCCCAGCTCCTCCCTCTTCCACCCCCCCCAAAGTTGTAAAGTTCGTTTTCAACATAGTGTCATGTACGTCTCATTGTTACAATGGGTCCTTACTTCAGCATTTTGTTATTTCCCTTCCCCTCCCCAAATTAGAAAAATGTATATATAAGATGCAGGGCACTCGAATCAAATACAGTGACAGCAGGGCTTATACCATGGGGGAAGAACATACAAACTTTTTCTACCACTTTGGAAAGCAGTATGGAGGTTCCTCAAAAGACTATACATAGAGCTCCCCTATGACACACCAATCCCACTTTTGGGCATTTACCCAAACGATCACAAACAAGGCCATACTAAAGCTACCAGCACAATTATGTTTAATACAGCATTATTCACCATAGCTAAGATATGGAACCAACCCAGATGTCCCTCAATAGATGAATGGATCAAGAAAATGTGATATGTTTCTGGGTCTCTATTAAGAAAATTTCGGCCTGCGCCAAGGAGACCTAGGGTTTCTCCTATTCCATCCTGTAATGTTTTCAGAGTGTCTGCTTTGACTCCGAGGTCTTTGATCCATTTGGAGTTGATTCTGGTGCAGGGTGATATAAAAGGATCTAGCTTTAGTTTTCTACAACTGATTAACCAATTTTGCCAGCACCATTTACTGAAGAGGCTGTCTTTCTTCCATTCTATTTTTTTAGCTCCCTTATGGAAGACTAGATGGCTATACGTCTTTAGGTCCATTTCTGGGTTTTTAATTCTATTCCATTGGTCCTGAGGCCTGTTCCTGTGCCAGTACCAAGCTGTTTTGATTACTATGGCTTTGTAGTAGAGTTTGAAATTTGGTATTGATATTCCTCCAGCACTGTTCTTTCTGTTAAGGATCATTTTTGCTATTCTGGGTCTTTTATTGTTCCATATGAATTTTTGGATTGCCTCTTCTATTTCCTTGAAGAATGAGGTTGGAATATTGATAGGTATCTCATTGAATTTGTAGATAGCCTTGGGAAGTATTGACATTTTCACGATGTTGATCTTTCCAATCCAGGAGCATGGGAGTTTTTCCCATTTTCTAAGTTCTGTTTTGATTTCCTTTTTCAGGTTTTTTAAGTTTTCATCATAGAGGTCCTTCACTTCTTTGGTTAAGTTAATATGTGTGAGTCAAGCATAAAAGGTCAGATAAGTTGATGTTAGGGGAATGAACCGCAAGATAAGTATTCAAATGTTTTTTTTTCTTTCATGCAATTGTTTCTAACATGATTATAAGATGATTTCTATGTTGCTTTGTATGTCCCTCTCTCACGGTATAGCCCCTGCTTTCATTGTATTTGATGTTGGTATAATTTGTGGAGGAGAAGGGCAAAAACAAACCCTTTAAACAGGGATACAGTTGGACCCATTGCAACAATGAGATGTTCAAGTCGTTATGTTGAAAAAATGAACTTTACAAGTTTGGTGGTGGGGGAGGATCAGGTGGGGGGGAGGGGGGAGTATGAGAAGGGATGGGAAGGGGAAACAAAGAAGAGGCAACAATGCTTGATAAGAAATGTACTCGTTATCTTACCCATGTAATTGTAACTTCTCTGTACGGTATTCTCACAATAAAAAAAGAGAGAGAGAGAGCGAAAAAAAGAAAATGTAATGTGGTGTGTGTGTGTGTGTGTGTGTAATGGAATTCTATGCTTCCATCAGAAAGAATGGTACTGCCCCATTTGTTAGGAAATGGAAAGACTTGGAAAAAAATGCATTAAGTGAAATAAGCCAGACTCAAAGAAACGTAAGTCCCATGGTTTCCCTTATTTGCAATAACTAGTATACGTCTAGAATAATCTTACCAGACAAGCAGAAAAGGTCAAAGCTATGTACATATGATCATATAAGATGATGCTAAGTGAAATGAACCCCAAGATAGGGACACAAGAGGCTTTTTCTTTGTTGCTGTTGTTTGTAATGTACTATATGATTTTTGTTTCTTTTGTATGTTCTTCCCCATGGTAATAAACCTCTCATTCCTAACAGCAGCCTTCTGTTTAGAGTGGGAGCTCCCTACAGACTCCCTGAGGGAACTTGCCCAGTGCTTGCAGCCAGGGATTGCTCTTTAATGGAAAAAGCTCTAGTTAAGATTTTTTATGCTAACGTTCATAAGCTTTCTCTTTCATGGTCTTGTTCGTGAAGTCTTTGAAGTGCTTGAAAGAGGCTCCAGTTGGTTTGAGGCAGCTGACAGGGCTAAGGCGAGGGTGTCCTTTGCCTTTGGGTGTCTCCCCTTCCCTGCCCATGCAAAGGTGGGCCCATCTGTGCTAAGGATGCTTACATCTTGGTCTCGCTGCTTTTCCATCCATGCCCCTTACCCAGTGCAGACAAAGTCCTCATGGACTCCCTGGCTGAGGAAAACTGAGATATGGCCAGTATCTGGGCCATGCCCCTCACACACACTGATTTTGGAGTGCCTTTCTGCGTCATCCTACTACCCAGCAAACCCCAACATATTCTTTAAGAGCTTTGGGAATCTTTGTCCCGTGGTCTCTTTCCCATATCACTTATCCCAAACAGTCTGTTGGTGGCTGCTACTCATTATAGGTCACCTATGGGTATGCAGAGCCTGCCAGCCTCACACATAACAACCACCTCCAGCTTTGCACCCTGGATACTTTGCACAACCTCTGCACATATTAGATCTTCAACTAATGCAAATTAAGTAAATCAGTGAAATCTGGTAGCTCTGATCTAAATTCTGCCCAAAGGATGGATTCCAGTTTTGCCAAAGACTTTGGCATGGGAAGTTTCTCTGCTTAATGAAACTGGAACTCTTTGAGTAACCTGGACCACCTTACTTCACTCCAGCTTATGTACCTTATAAGTTGCTCACTTTCTTCAAGCTCTTCTTTCCCCAACCAGTTACCTCTTCTGAAGAAGTTCAGAGCCAGGAGGAACTAGGAAATGATCCCTCCAGGTCTAACCCTGGCAACTTGTCCTTGGAATTCCCTGTACTGGTGACCCTGCTGTTATTCCCATTCTCTCAGACAGAGAATCATCAGGATCCCCTTTGGTCCCTATCTCAGAAGCCCAGTTTCCCATCAGGGTACATAGCTCACCATGGAACAGCAAAGCTGAGGGCAGATGAAGTTTACTTACAGAAGTGGGAGGTTGTCTGATCTCCATAACTCTGGCTCTAGGACAGTACTTTCTCTGATACTCTCTGTGCTTTAGGAAAATTGCCAAAACCACCCATCAGAAATACAAAAACCTTATAGGACATGTGTCAAAGAGATAAGTGAAGGCCCAGGCCTGTGTGCAGACCCAGAGTCATCATCTACCCTAGTCCTTCAGAACTGCCCTGTGATGCGGGTAGGCTGAGAGTCTAGATGACTTAGCTACTAGCTGGGTCATCAGAGAGGGCACTCGGAGATTTTTTTGAAAATAAAAAAAGTGGGGACCCAGGGTACACAGTTGTTGAAAATGAGAGTGTGCAGGTTTGGCTGGAGGGCACTTTGGCCAAACTGTTTCCACAGGTTCCATGGAGAGATGTTTACCACTATCTGAAGATTTGCCTGCATCTGCAATCTTCCACATTGTCAGTGTGGCTTTGCAAATAGAACTTGCAAATACCATTGATTAGGTATATAAAGACCTATAAAGGTATATAAAGTAAGATAGCCAAGATGATTTGCAGAAACATGGTTTGGATGAGCCTGTTGATGGAGGCAAATTTCAGGATATCTGTGAGGCTGAAGGGCACACCAAGGAAACTATTCTGTGCCTCCATGGTGGTGACTCCTTTCCTAAGAGGCACCCCCACAACTACCACACAAAACCCTTTCTGAGTGTTCTAGTACCCTGAAGGCATAAGCACAATAATACCAAGTACCACAGGAAGATAGGACAGGACCTTGTCCATAAACTAGGTCAAGCCTATCTTCTTCATGGCTTCTGTCAGCTCCTGAGATGTGTGTGTGTGTGTGTGTGTGTGTGTGTGTGTGTGCGCGCGCACGTGCATGCACGTGTTCATTTGCGTGCATGCACGCAAACATGTATATCAGTACTGGGAACTTGAACTAGGTCCTGGGTGCTGTCCTTTACTTTTTTGCTCAAATCTGGTGCTCTACCATTTGAGCCATAGCTGTACTTCTGTCTTTCCAATTGTTAATTGGAGATAAGCGTCCCAGACTTTCCTGACAGGCTGGCTTCAAACCACAATCTTCAGATCTCAGCCTCCTGAATAGATAGGATTACAAGCATGAGCCACCAAGGTGGCTCTTTAAGATGTGAGTAAGATCTTAAAGGGACAGGAATGGATTTACTCAGCTCCTAAATGAATAGAAGACAATTGAATCCTCTAAAACATACCTCATAGAAGCTTCTTCCGAACCCATGCCCCTAAAGCCAGGGTATGGGTTGAGTGTGAATACATGTAGAAGGAAAGGGTTAAAGGCCCATTTCCAAAGTGACTGTCATCCTTTTGTGTAACGGGGCTTCATCTAAGAGCTTTGGGGTAAAAAGACATCTATTTCTGATTTGAAGCTTCAAGTTCCCTGACATCCTCAAAAGAAAATGTGTTGCCCATGCCTTTTCTAGTGACTAGCAGAGACAAGATGACACCATGGCCAGAAGGCCTCATCTCCTACCAGAGGTGTCAAAACCTTGTGAGGCATGACTGGTTGTATTAGAAGGAATCAAGGCAGAAGCTCTGGTGCACATAATTGATGAGGATCATTTCTCTATTCCTTAGAGTTCTTTTGCTTGAATATTTACTCTGTAAGTTGGCTCTATGTTTTATACAAGATACCTTCTGCTCAGTTTGACCTCTGGGCATCCTTCAACTAACATCATTTTAGGACTTTCCCTGACCACTTGATCTTCATTTCTCAAATAAGTAGGTCTTTGTAATGTGTGGCCTGTTTTCATCTGAGCTGTTTCAGTAACTTGATTTTGCTTATTTCCTTAGGGTTCCTGGAGGAGGAGCTGGGTCATCTCGGAACAATGTGCTTGGAGGGTCTCCACTGGCCAAAGGGATGACCACTACCATGCAGCCTGGTGGTGGAAGTTTGAGCAGTCCAGCAACCACCACCAGGCCATCCCTGTCCCTTACCACACCTCAGGCTCATGCCCAGCACCTGGCAGCTTCTCCACCAATAGGCAGCTGCCTGCGTCATGCAGCCCAGCCCACAGCCAACCAGACTCGGAACACCATTCCAGCAGGTATGGATGCAGATTCACCTGGCCAGTAATCAACAAGGGGAGCTGCTGGGACACAAATCATGGGACATATTTTGTATTTTTGGCCCTACTCTCTAGCAAGCCACAGTGGGAGGGGGGGGTAGGATTGATGTGACTGTCATAATTTCCAGGAATTATACTAGCCTCATCTTGTTATGATATTCTAATAGCTAAAGTGATGTAGATTTATAGACATTTGCACATTTTGTGTGGCAAGAGAACTGCATGGATTAATAAGCTTAAGACAAGTACCTCTGGATGCCTGCTCCACTAAGACAGATGTCGACTGGCCATGAGGTTGTCACTTGCCAGACATGCCTGGGTTTCCCCACTAGGTAGCACTTCATGAGACAGAGTTGGTAAGGATCATAGGTGAGAGGATCCCTTTTCTAAAGAAGGAAAGAAAGAAAGAGAGAGAGAGAGGGAGGGAGGGAGGGAGGGAGGAAGGGAGAGAGAGAGAAAGGGAGGGAGGAAGGAAGGAAGGAAGGAAGGAAGGAAGGAAGGAAGGAAGGAAGGAAGGAAGGAAGGAAGGAAGGAAGGGAGAAAGAAAAAGAAAGAAAATAAGAAAGAAAGGAAGAAAAGAAGAAAGAAAGAAAGAGAGAGGAAGGGAAGGAGGGATGGAGGGAGGAAGGGAGGGAGAGAGAAAGAAAGAAAGAGAGAGAGAAAGAGGGAGGGAGGGAGGGGGAGGGAGGGAGGGAGAAAGAAAGAAAGAGAGAGAGAGAGAGAGAGAGAGAGAGAGAGAGGGAAGGAGGGGGGAAGAAGGGAGGGAGGGAGGAGGAAGGAAGGAAGGAAGAAGGAAGGAAGGAAGGAAGGAAGGGAAAGAAAAGGCCACTTTGCTCCTCAGATGGTATGGAATGAAAGCCATGGTGAATGGAAAGGCATGGAGAAAGTAAACTGACCTTGCATGGAAGCTTAGCATCATGTTAAGCAACTTAGCAACTGCTGAAGCTTGACTGGCAGGATGCTTCCGGAAGCCCATGTAACATGACTTTCCAAAACCACAGAGGAAGCTATACTACTGCAGTACCGCCAAAGTAACCCAGAGCAGGAAGATAATAGACCAGAATTTCCTACCCCTGTCTTTGCAGGAACATTCTTTTTCTCAGGGGGCCATTTAAAAGATAAAAGTAATTCATTGGGGCAACAAAAATGTAGTCCTTTATAGACTGGTCAGGCAGAAAATGATCCAGTAGAAGTTTTCAGAAAAACAGTTTCCTAAGTATGAAAAATTGAGACCATATTGATATAGCAGAAACTATGCTTATCCTGAGACACTGCAATGGGACAAATGGTTGGGAGGAAAGATTATGGTCTACTCATTTACCCATGAGATTTAACAGTACATGTTTGTATGCTGATGGGTTCAGATTTCTGTGAAGCAGGAAAGATTGGTGAGCTCTTGCAGAAAAGTCTAATTTAACTGGGAGAGCTTTATAGTCTAGTTCATCACAGTTGGCATGCCTGTTAACTAGACACGACATTGGCTCTGATCTCAGGCTCTAACCAATCTTTAGGGAGGGTGATATCAGGCCAGCAGAGGGCTGAAGGTGCTGCTGGTGGAGGTAGAGTCTGTTTGGGGCACCTGGGGAGGAAGGCAGGCAAGTGAGTAGGTAGTCTTCCTTAGAAGAATTCCCAGAGTGGGCTCTCAGTAACTCAGGCAGGAGAATGATGAATAGTGTATGTGTATGTGTGTCTGTGTGTGTGTGTGTCTGTGTGTGTGTGTGTCTGTGTGTGTGTCTGTGTGCCTGTGTATCTGTGTGTCTGTGTTTGAAGCAAGAGAAGGGAATAGTCAAAAGAACAGTAGTGACAGAGAGTAGGATTTTCCCTAACTGGCTTCACATACTATTCTCCTCCCCTGTCCACAGTTGGCTTTTAGTCACTCCAGGTACCCATAGTCCGTGAGCAGAGTGAGTGCTATGCACTACACAAGAAGAGAAACAGGGAAGTGAGAGGAGAGATGGGAAGAGAGGCACATTTACATAAGTCTTACCATAGTATATTATTATAATTGTGTATTGGATTATTATTTACAATCTCACTATGCCTAGTTTACAAATTAAAATGTAAACCAGATGTTGGGGGAGTTGGTTTGTGCTACATGAAGAACCATGTTTAGACCTGTGAGAGTTGTGTTGGCTGCTGTAGATGATCTGGAATAATTTCCTTTCATGGGACTTATACTACACTTGATGAATCTTGCTGCCCATCCCCACATCACCCCCACACATGGTAGAAGGCAACACTGTATGTCCAACCTTCCTGGTAAAGAAAGAACCGCATGGCCCAACTCAGGGAACAGATGCTCCTGCCTAAGCTTCTGTTTAGAAGAGAAAATATAGGAAGCTGTGTGAGTGTCATTTGAAGTTAGAAGGAGTGATACAAACATCCAGCTGTCTAGCAGATGCAGGATGAACTACTGGTAAATTCAGGGCTGTGTCTATGACCAACAGAGGTGGGACTGGCAACAGTCATCTGGGCACTACCCTGATTGTCCCGCCCTTAAGACCAACGCTATGAAGCCAGATATCCTATAGGTGCTAACTAGTCTTTTATAAATATCTTTCTTGTTCAAGTTAGCCGAGAATGAAGTCTTTGTTTCTGCAACCCCTACCTGGGAGGCCATCCAGGTACAGTTGTCTGTGTTATACAAGTTATCTGCAGCTATTATCAGGTCGCGGATTACTTGTCCCAGGTGACGGTTGCAATTACAGACTGGTCAGAAGCATACCAAGATGCTGGCTGTTTTTGCCCCCTGGAGCATAGGACTAAATTACTCATGGTTATAAGTCTATCATTCATGAAAGGCTGAGCAGTCCCTCTATTCCTGGTGAGTGAACTTTCTGGCACAGTACCTTGCCGTTATCTATGCAAAAGAGCCAGCGTAATGGCCTTTCCCTGCCAAGCCTCACTAGAAACGTTCTCAATTCCAAAAGAAAATGGAGCTCTGCCAGTCATTTCTCCTTTATCCAATAACAAAGCAATACCAAAAGAAATTGGCATGGCTGGGGGCAGTACAACATTGTGTTCTAGTCATCCATCACCATAGTAACCATGATGGTGTGACTAGCATTCTCTTCCATCAGTTTCATTTTACATATGGGGAGAGTGGAATACATGATGGTTAAACAGATCCCCTAGTGCTTCACAACCTTAATGCTTGTCCCCACACTATTGCCCTCAGCCAGGTTAAAGAATGGCTCCTACTGAGGCACATCAATAAATTAAATGCTCCTAGGTTCCCACAGCATTTTCCACTTCATTCTGTATTTAGAGAGAAAAGCACTGTTGACAGTACAAGTAATGGATTGTTCGCTGCAGTGATTGCCTATTTCAGTAGACCCCAGCTTTGTGTTGGGAGACATTTCAACAATGTTCTCATCTCCAGACAAAGTCAGGCAGCTTGACTAAAACTAAATTGCACTGGCCATAGCATTCAATATGATTTGTTCTACTTGATTAATGTAACTCTCTTGTCCAAGAGCAGAGCACTCCCTGTAAAGTACTCGTGTCTTTTATACATTCATGCCTGATCTTAGCAGGAGCAAAAGCCCCATGCAGCCATCTATTGACCAGCAAAAATAGATAGATAGATAGATAGATAGATAGATAGATAGATAGATAGATAGATAGATAGATAGATAGATAGGTAGATAGATAGATAGATAGATAGATAGATAGATAGATAGATAGATAGGTAATAGCACCTTAGAAAGAGTTAGATACAGGCACAGTGGCCTGCATAGAGTTGGAAATATACTGACACCAAGACAGGCCCATTTCTGCCCCAATTAGAGAAAAGGACAAGAAACAAATTTCTACCATAGACTTGAAAAGACTCCTCTACAGGTATAGGTATAGGTAGGGTATTCAGTAACCTCAAGAGAGCATGAGGAAACAAGGAGGAGGCAACAATGCTTGATAAGAAATGTACTTGTTATCTTGCCCATGTAATTGTAACCCCTCTGTACAATAAACTCCTCTCACAATAAAAGAGAGAGAGAGAGAGAGAGCATGAGGAGAGATGATTAATCAGACCTGAGAGGAGAGTTGGAGAAGGGATGGGAAAAGCTGTGAAGAGAATTTTCAAGAAGAGGTGATAAGGCCTGGAATGCTAAAGGGCAAACAGAAGCTATCTAAACAAACAGAGTAGGGAAGTGTTTGAGGCAGAGGAACTAGCAAGGCTATGGCAATGTGGCAGTGAAAAGGACTCCATTCCTGACTGCAAAACTTTAGTTCATTCTATGTGGCTGGAACAGAGGTGTAGAGAGCAGTCCAGTGTGCAGATGACAGTTTCTCTCTGGAGACATATTTTACTGTCAATCTGAAGGATAAGTGGAATTCAGCTTGTACTGGATGCCAGGTAAAAGGAAAAAGGATATTTTAGGCCGAGGAAATGAGAAACCCTTCGGCCAACAGAGACCTGGTGGATTTGGAGAGAGCATTGTGGAAGGTCCAAAAAAGACTAGAGGAAGTCAGGTATGTAGGGGAAGGTCATAACGGTTCTTTTACACCATGTCAAGAAGTTTAAGTTTTTGTCCTAAGGGCAGAGGGACCCATTAAAGGGTTTTAAATTGTAGATACGATCCGATTTCTGTGGTTGAAAAATCAAGCTAGATTCTTGTTTATGACTAAATTGTGATCCTGAGGGTAGAATTTACCCTCCACTTGAAATAATGATTGATACAAGCAAATAAATACATAAAGTGGCAGTTTTGAGACACTAAGCATTAGACAGCCAAGAGAAATGGGTAGACTAGGGCACAGCAGAAATGATAGAGAATTTGCAGGGCAGAGGAATAGAGAGGAGAAATCTGCCTAGTTTTAAAACTGTATTGAGCTAAGAACTCATCAGCATATGCATGTAAGCAAAATCCCAAAGCCAGGACAAGAAGGAAAGAAAGGATTAGTGCTAACAGTGCCCAGAATATATACAGGCTGGAAATAACTCCTTTTCCCACCAGCCATACTAGAAGAAATTCCAA